GGGCAATTTAGCAATATTACCTAAATCTATATTAAGATAATATAGACACAGGTAACTGTGGATCATGTTATTGGTGAAACTTGCCTTGTTCTTGCTGAAAATATCCGTGTTTACCAGGCTGATAACTGATGCCAGATATGTCAAAAAATTGCTACTAACGTGTCGACTGCCTTGCCAATGTTTTCCAAACTACAAGTAGAAAAATGATTTAAAAACTAGTATCAATAGAATCTTGCATCTGTATCTGTGTTCCAGATGACAGAGTGTATTAGCTTTTTTCTAGTAGTGTCCCTGTTCTGAAATGTGCAGGATATTTACTGTCAGGTTGGAGCCTGAATGGTATGTCTTAAATCAAAAAAATCTGTATATGGATGAACCCAAAAAAGCCACAACTTTTAAAATACATATCGTCGTGGCACGTCAAGCTTATTTATCAAAAAACGGTTGAAACGAAGTCCTGCGGAGACCGGCGTGATGTCAATTATTCTATTCCGCAGACTTTCAAGCGACTCCGCTTTCACGTTTTTTTTGTAGAATGTCACGACTGCAAAAAGACTTTCATAAGATACCCTCAGTTTAGAAAGTCCGTGTAAATTTAGGTCAGACGTTAAGCCCCCAGCTGTAAAATTTCCATCCAAGGTCGTCTCCAATTCCTTGCGTTTATAAACAGCTCGCCTTGATGAAGATCCCCAATTATATCCCGCATAACTTCGAGGCAGTTTAGTATAATATTTTCATGGTTCTGTTAATGAAGTTCGAAGTTGATTGTGATCGAATGTTCGCCTCTTTAGATCTGGGAATCAAGTCGCCAACTGCAGCTTTGCTAAGAAGGACGCTAACGAAGCAGAATACAAAAAGTATTACAGGAGCTATAAAGATTTGAACAGATTAAAAAAGTAAGTTTCACTGAAAACGTTCTGGCATAGAATACTCTGGTATCAGGCTTGCGATGCATGTATCTGTTGGAAGGACACAGCACAAATACACACCTCGGAAAGCTTTCAGCAACTTTCTTTCCTAATCTAACAATTTAATTGCTTTATTACCAGTTTTTTTTAGATCTGTTTTTTTCTTCAATCTTGATTTCATGTTGTTGATTTTTCTTAATAAGTGTTTAGTATCTAATGGTTTACCGAGTGTTGATTCGTATTTTTTCAACATCTTCTTCAAGGCATCGTCCTTTACTCATTTTTATTTTTTCAACTTGTGACTTTTGCAAAATAATGGGATCAATGGCAATTTCATCTGCGTTGACATTATTTTCTATAGTTTCTTCATCACTTGAGGATGACATGCTTATTAATTTGATAAAAAACTGTATTCAGTAAAAATACGGAACGGTCTGTGTAAGCTCTGGAGTACAACTGTCAGAGATGCTGAGTGAAAGAACTCCCACGTCAACTACAAGCTGGAACAAGTCAGGACATGTCGCTCAAGCTTCAACCTTTTACTTCTTCTTGGAGGATATCCTCGCGAGTATAAGGTAATCATTATGAATATAAAACAAGGATATGCTTATACTTCTACCTTTTTCTCCGAAGCAAGACCTTATACTTTTACCTTATGCTTCCGAGAATATGCTTCTCTATTATGAATACGGCTCAATATCTTTCATAGCCTCATAGCTAATTTTACGTGATATTTTAAACTAAGTATTCCCATATCATGCTAATCATTAAACAATTTAATGTTGTGCTGCAAATTATTCTTTGATTATACTGTAAGCCTAGAAATATCCTAGTTTGGTTAATACCGGATTTATTGTAAGAGCTACTGTTGATTTTATAAATTCCACGCATATCAAGTGTGTGTACCCTGCCCACCAGATTTGTCAGTAAATTTACAGATGTTGGTCCAGACTGATGCAGTTCTGGATTCCAAGTCCTTAAAAACCTTCCTAATAGCTGTTGTATATTTTCTTTTGCAGCATATTGCTAGTTGCTGTAACATCGCGGAGTGTTTCCTGGATGGCATGCCTACTAGTTATACGAGATTATTCATATTATTGGTATTATTATCCTATACCCTTGGGTCATTCTTGAATGCTTTGGCCTTAAATTAGCGGCACATATATTATGTCAAAGGCCTAAAAAAAGAACGTAAAAAAATTACATAGTATCATCTTGCAGACTAGGTAGTTTTTAATGTGCAAATAGGTCATTCCACGTTTGCTCGCTATGATCGCTGTGAGTGTTATCAAAAGCGTTCATCTGTGGAGGCATGACTCAACGACACGGCACGTCAAGCACGCATTGCTGTTTGCAGAAAGCCAAGTCGTGTTTATCTCTGAGAGAATGTGCAGGAAGGAAAGTTGGTTGAGCAGCAATATCGCATCTGAGTGATTATTATGTGTATTGGTCTACATGTGCATAAAATCGATTATCATTATTAGCACACAAATCCTCACTATGCATCTATGCACTGTTGTTTCCTTCCAGCTTATAGTATGCAACTGACAGCTTAGATCTCCAATAATGTCATCTCTGAAGCAGATGTTACATCACTTCAGAGCTAGAAATTGATATCATCATGACGTCTAGTCAACACGTACATCTACAAAACGAGTTCACAACAAGTGTACAACAGATAGTGCTAAGTTGACGTCTTGTAGAAAAACCCATAAAATGTCACTTTTCAAGATACGTAATACCCGTTGATTAGCCTGAAGGTTAGAGCTAGCTATTTTGTGTGGCGGACAGAGACTAGAGTCGCTGGATATGTATCAAATTTTGTTCCTTTCTTTTATATAAGCAAATTCAAAGTCCCCAAACCAAGACGTCTAAGAGCGGTTACTGCCGGTTCTACCAATTTTATACGTGAATCAAACCTATCAGCCGCGCCTGATGCTGGCGACCGTGATGAGTGTTCTGGTATGGAATTACATGCACTTCTCTCTCGCAGTAGCATCGTGTTTTCTATGCTCTGACCGCGCTACCCCAGTGCCATCTCTGCCCGAGTTAGGTATCGGGGAGAGGCGACGTTTCCAGATGCACTACCGATAGGTCAGGGTACTCGCAATAATGTCTATGGACTAACTGTGTGGACCTCTTTGACTAACTTTTTTCTCAGAGGTTTTGTGCTGAACATATTCCTTAATGTACTGATAAGGGCGTTACAGAGGAAGTGCAGGGTAAACCAACTTGACGCCATGTCCTCTATGCTACCAGTGTTTCGCCAGACACAGTGAAAACATCGTCTATACTCTATATTTTGCAAAATACTTAGATGGTCGTTTAGCATCATTAGAGGATCCCAACCTCATGTCGCGTTAGAGTAGGGTGACGTGGCCAAGAATAACTTTTACGTGGTCATCAGGTATTTCTTATACTTCCAGATTTTATGTTCTTCGTGTAGAAATAATTCCAAATTGACTCATATCAATACCTGGAAAGTTCTGAAACAAGCTGTACGTCTTAATGTATTCCAATTAATAGGTGATTCAACTTTCAGGCTAGTGCCTTTCCTTGGCTTGGTAGGAAGCATTACGCCAAAAACCACGATTCGAACTGCAGTATACTAAAGGACCACTGGACTTTGACCAATCTTCAGAACAAGTCCCACTAACGCTGCTAACTACAGCCCCATGGTATTCACAATCAAATATTTATGAATCTTGATGCACATTATCCTTGACGTCTCATCACAACAATGACTGGCCTAATGAGTAATACATATTAAACAGGCTTTAGCAGCTGCCAATTTTCATCATCCTACGTAGCCTCATTCTCAGAACTTCGCTTCATTCTGTTTCGTGCACATTGAAAGGACAGAATGAAGATAGTTGAGATTTTTCCATATAATGAGAAATTAATGAAAAATTAATTGACCGAATCGTGCGGAAAATTTTTGCTCGGAAAACTTTAATTAGTGCTCTATACCTCCGACTTCCTGTCATACATAACCTTAACAACGAGCTAGCTGGTTTTAATTGACATCTGCAGTAAAGTGTCACATTTGCGCACGTAGCTGTCCATCCCTAAAAAGTTAACTTTGTGATGAAACATTTATTGGTATGAAGGACCTGCTTTGCGAGTACAGACGACTTAAAAAGCTGTCAGGAGGAGTAACTTTCCTACAGGATATTCTTCTCTCTCGTTTCCAAGAAAACAAGACCATCGGATATCAGTGGTCATGTTTACACTGTGGCTAGCCGCTATAGCGCAGAGTAAACGAGCACAAAGCAGTATTTGCGCGCTGTGTTAAGCTCGCTACAGACGATGCGCAGTTCCTGATTCGTTATGCGCGATTCGTTAATTCGCGCATCGTGTGTAGGGATTTGGTTCGTTAAAAATCGATTCGTGAACCGAGTTCGCAACGGTTCGCAGTGATTCGCTCTTGAGAGCGGTAAATCGACGAAATCAAAGGCTGCGGATCACCACGAACTGCTGATTCGTTGACATTCAGAAAGCCGCTCAGACGATGTGCGTTAATTCATGTGCCCAAGGCCATGATCACGAGGGTGTATGTCTGTATTATTATTGTATATTATAGGTTATGTTTACATGTGGTTTAATAATTAAAAGCAATGGCCGGAGAATTTCAGTGGGCTGATGAACTTGTTCTGGATTTAATTTATCAAATAGAACAACGACGTCATTTGTGGGACCCGAAAGACAAAGACAAAAAAAATAGAAATAAAAAAAGTGATGCCTTTAAATCGTTGGGAAAAAAGTTTGGTGTGACTCCCGAAGAAATTATAAAGAAGTATGAACATTTGTTGCAAAGTTATAGAAAGTGTTGTCGGAAAGTAAAGAATAGTATAAAGTCAGGAGCCGGAACAAGCGATGTTTACAAACCAGTTCGGTTTGCTTTTGAGGCGCTCAATAAATTTACTTGTCCTGCCACGGAACTTTGCCGTTTGTAACGAAATTCGTCGCGAATTTTCTTCACGTCTGGGTATGTTCTTCTGCCCCTTCTTTGTAGTGACAAAAGTGATGTTTGTGGTTGCGTTTCATTCCTCCAAGAACCATTGACAATTGTTCTATTTTCTTCTCTATCAAATGTACCCGGAGGTGTGTACATATTTCTCGAGTTTCTGCTTCTTCTTAGAAAATTATGTAGCAATACACAGCATTCCGTGATCAATCGAGCTTTATCTTGATTTAAGAAAATGGGTTTTCGTAAAACTAGAAATACTGCAGACATAATTCCAAATACATTTTCAATTATTCTGCAGGCTCTAGAAAGTCTATAGTTGAATATACGCTCTATTGTGTTATTGTCATGATTTCCACCATATAGAACCATGAGGTATTCTTTAAAAGGGAATGCGTTGTCGTCAACAATAACATAGAGCACAGACTTTGCTCTCATTGGCAATGGTCTGTCCGAAGGTAGATTTAAGGTCTTATTTTCCAACGCCTCATACAATTATTGAATACACCCCCATCTGATATTCGTCTTTGTGAGCCAATATTACTGTATATTACATTGTAATCCGCATCACACAAATCGATTAGTACTATGCTAAATGTTCCCTTGTAATTTATATATTCACTACCACTATTTATAGGAGCCATCATCGCTACATGTTTCCCAGCTATAGCACCAACACAATTTGGAAAATTCCATCTGTCTTCGAATAAGGAATCTGAAAATAATGTTAAAAATTAAAAAAATTTAAACATTTATTATTAGGAATATATTTATATAGTCCAAACCCTTATAAGTGGCGTTTCCAAAAGTCAATCAGATGAACATATCGTCATGAATCACCCTTTATAATTACTTTCATATCATTTTGACCCACCAGTTGAAAGGGATTATTGACTATACCGTTGCTTACAACAATTACAACTGTTACAAATTAAATCATTGTTAAAGACAGAAGTACTGAATTTATTTATTTATTTTCAGAAAAATGAAGCGAAATCTAATGATGATGATAGGGGCAATAATGCCTCTATTATTCCCGAGTCTCCAGAAAATGCAGATACGGTCAATATACAACAGACAACTGAAGCCAACGGAGAACAAGGTGTGGCTCCTGATAACCGAGCACAGTTAAAAAAGAAGGAATTTGTTTCACCAAAGCAATTACCAACAAAAAATAAAAAAAAGTTTACAAATGATTCTGATGAAAGAGCGGAAATGACATTTCAATATCTTCAGACGAAAATGCAAGAAGGGAGAAAAGAAATTGACGAATGCATTGCTTTTGGAAATTTAATTGCTGCTAAGCTCAAAAACATGGATCTCATCACTCGACAACATGCGATGAACGATATAAATAATATAATGTTTAGAGCATCAATTCGCCCTCATTTTATGCTTCAATCAGAATCATTTTCCCCTCTCGCTTCTTCATCATCATCCCCCTCCCCTACATTTCTTGTAGAATCACCTCAATCTTCACCATCATTGCCCCTTCCTCCTCAATGTTTACAACCACTGATTATTACATCCCAATCTGATAGCACACTCACAACTTTCGGATGAAATAGAAATGTTGCAGTCATCTACTAGCACACCTACACTTGTTTAATTTTATAAAAGTTTTGTTAATGATGTAAATAAATGAAAATTAATATTTTTTTTTAATATAATTTCTTTACTTCTTTAAAATATTTATATGAACTACGCAAGGCACCATGATCTAGGCACATTTTTTGCAATATCGTTAATATACAGGGTGTTTCAGTTTATTGTTGCATAACTTTAAGATTCGATAGAACTTTTAAAATTAATGCATAAAGTCTATATAAACATGGGTCGAAAAATGCGTGGCTTCCGAAATACAGGGTGTTTAAATTTACTTTCTAAAATAGTTTTTTTTAAATATTTCGAACAATATTTGATGTATAACAGTGAAAATCGGTATACAAGGGTTTCTTGGTACGACAAAACGAACCATGGGCATAATTTTACTGTAGCCGCTAGAGGGCGCTCTCTACTGTAAGCAGAAAGCAGAATAAGGTTAAACGTCAATTAGTTGACAGCTAGTTTGCTAGTTTCGTTGTCTGTTGAATCCTGAAACGTTTTTTTGCAATTGTGAATGCACGAAATTTAGTTTTTTTTACCTGTTTTTTTCTGTAAGTTTTATAAAAACGCGATTTTTATTCTCCAATCAAGAGTTAGCGGATTTACCCGTATGATTCTGCGTGAGTTTGATAGAGATCCGACCACAAGTGTTAGGAGAGTTTCTGGTGCTTTGGGAATTTCAGCAAGCCATGTTCACCGTGTTCTTAAAAATGACCATAGACGTCCTTACCATTTGCAACCTGTGCAAGGGCTACAGCCAGGGGACGGAGAACAAAGAATCACATTTTGTCAGTGGATTCTTGATAGAACTGATAATAATAGGGAGTTTTTAAGTAACGTTTTATGGACCGATGAGTCATGCTTCACTAGACGTGGAGTGGTAAATTTTCATAATCAGCATATCTGGTCGATCCCCTGACCTAAATCCATTAGAATTCTTTGTGTGGGGATTTCTAAAAGAAAAAGCGTATCAGACTCCCGTAACCACAAGAGATATGCTGATAGACAGAATCAGGAATGCATGTGATGAAATAAGGCCTTACTTGAATAATGCTATACCACGTTCGATTATTCGTAGATGTGAATTGTGTATTGAACAATTGAGTTTACATTTCGAGCAAGTACGTTTGACCTAACTATCCAATAGCATTTTAGTTGTAAATAACTAATTTAATTTGTTTTTTAAAATAATATTGGAAAATTAAACAAATTAATATTCTGTTTTTTGTGTTTATTTGGAGTTAGGAATTATTGCTGTGTTTAAAAAGACAATCTAAACGACCATCTTAATTACTTGTAATGCCCAAATCGAAAATGTAAGAAAATTATTATTTTCCCAGAAATAATTAAAAATGCATCGAACCTTAAAAATCGAAATATCTCAAAAACGGCTAACGATAACGAAAACTAACAGGAGAGCTTTTTTATGTTGAAAAGTGCGAAGAACCAGTTTTTTTATTGAAAAAGCAAAAACTTGCATTAAAAAAAAATTTTTCGGTCATTTCAATACACTACAGGTACAGTAGAGAGCGCCCTCTAGCGGCTACAGTAAAACCATGCCCATGGTTTATTTTTTCGTACCAAAGAACCCTCGTATACCAATTTTCACTGTTACACATCAAATATTGTTCGAAATATTTAAAAAAAAACTATTTTAGAAAGTAAATTTAAACACCCTTTATTTCGGAAGCCACGCATTTTTCGACCCATGTTTATAAAGACCTTATGCATTAATTTTAAAAGTTCTATCTAATCTTAAAGTTATGCAACAATAAACTGAAACACCCTGTATAAATTTTCAAGTACATAAATGTATAAAAAAACAATAAACATATTACTTACCTTTATTTGGTCTCGAAGTGCCATTTTTAGTACTTTACATACTTCAATCACGATGGAGGATATGAGCTGCGATGACATTTTAAATAAATAACTGAAACTGTGATAACTGTCGCCAGAAGCAAGGAATCGTAAAGTTACAGCTAATCTCTCTTTAGCAGAAATGGTACGCCTCATGTTAGTGGTCTGTTTAGCTATAGATGGGCCTATTAATTGCAGCAGAATTTCGAAATCTGCAGATACCATCCGACAAAAATGTTCAAATTTACCAGAACATTCTATTGATAAATCATTTAGCAGATCATTGCCATAATATCTGTAAATAGAAATTGTATAATAACCTAAATCTATAAATTAGCTGATTTTTTTCGTATATACAACTGACTAGAAAATGAATCGTATGATCTTAACTATTACCTGTCTCTATGTCTGAATAATGATACACTCCACCATCTGCGTTTTTTTTTCGTTCATTTAACTTCTTTTTATTTTGCGCTAAGATTATATAAATAGCACAAGCTGTAGCCAGATCATCATCACTCTCCATTTTTGCGAACTGCTGTGAACGAACCATGAACCGACGCACCAACGTATCACGAATCGTGAACAACGCACAGTCTGTATGCTCCGTTCGTCAATTACACGAACTACAACGAACTCGACGAATCACGCATCGCGCATAACGAATCACGAACTGCGCATCGTCTGTAGCGAGCTTAAGCATGGCCACTATGAGCCTAATTTTCAACCTCAGCTTTTGCTTCATGTTTAGTCAAGTAACTTACTCAGCATCTGTAAAATTGACTTATTTATCCAGGACATGGACATGGACGAGTGAGACGCCCATTGGAGCGTCATCTAATACTAATTCGGGATATCTCGGATGTTCGTCTGTATGTAGTACGGCCGTCATCGTTGCCCGTCTCTCTCTCTCTCCAGAAGACGCAGGCAATCTTCATCCAACGAAGAAGGATTGCAAGACCTCTCGAAGCATCAATCTTCGATGAAGATATCCAGTGGAGCGACAAAGTCAAATATCTGGGGATCGTATTTGACAAGCCCCTCACCTGGAAAGACCACATAGAAGCTGTCATCGCAAAGTCCAGAGCAGCCATGGCCCAACTCTACCCATTACTGGGTAGACACAGACGGATGTCGCTAGCGACCAAGCTACGGCTGATCAAGGCCATCGCCAGACCTCAGCTCGCTTACGCCTCCGCGGTCTGGGGGTACGCTGCTCCCAGCTACCGCAAGCGACTTGCTGCTCCAAAATGAAGCTACTCCGGATCGCCACCAGTGCACCATCCTTCGTAAGAAACTCAACCTTGCGTAGAGACCTGCATTGGGAAACCATTCACGAGTACATGAGGAAAAAAGCGGAGATGACCTTCCAGAAAGCTCAGGACCACCTGAACAAGCAGCTACGACTCCTCATGGACTACGATCCGGACGAGAGGCCTCGCAACCGCAAAGCCAGGTACCCTAGACCAAGGTCCCAGTTGGCACCCGCTAACTGGAACCTTGACTAGGAGACTAGGAGAACCCGCGGTTGCTCCCCCCCCCCCCACGGCGTGGAAGCAGAGGACGAGGACCAGGACGACCACGACCAGATCCCATCAGGATCAGGAACCACCAGGATCAGGACCAGGACCAGGACCAGGACCCATCAGGACCAGGTAACATACAAGTAGTAGAGGACTTGAAACTCTTGATTTTCCGAAAACAAGGGTTTCAAGAGAACATAGCAAACCCTATATCGATGCTCGCTTAACGACACCGATAGAACTGTGTGAGGTAAAGGGAACCAACCCGGCGTTCCCAGAGACACAGGCACAGGCACAACACATGGCCTACCGAGACGCTGATGAGTCGGGCCACGCGGAGGTTAGGGTTTAGTGGGTATTAGGTGGTCGGTGGTCTCCTCAAGACAACCTGTAGTCCCACACACGCCGTAGCTCGGGCTATGGTACATAAACGCATTCCCCCCTCACCAAAAAAAAAAAAAACGTTGCCGGTCAGCCGTCGTTGTTAAATACAGATTAACAGATTGATTTAAAAGGGAGGAATTCGGCGACGTCGTCGTGGGTGGGTTAATGAAATAATTGTGCACAGAAAACAACTGGGTGAATTTCACCACCTTTTCGAAGACTTGAAATTACAGTCCATCAAGTTCCTCGAATATTTCAGAATGTGCTATTATACATTTCAGTATATTGGTCTCATAAGTTGCTCAATTTGTCTTTTTTACTCTTGCAAAGCCTATATTCATTTCCAATCCAACATCAGACCATAGCCATTTTCCAGTATCACGATTTATGTAACTTTCTGAGTTTTTGTCCCACAGGGGCGGCTTATTATAAGCAGAGCTAATTAATTTTTCAATATCCATACTTAGACGCGCATTCATCTGTTGTAATTGTCGGCGCACTGCCGAGAAGTCCCAACAAGTTCGGACGTTGCTACTTATCGGCCGTCGCCGTTGAGTGGTGTACGCACTCTCTTTATTCTATTGGTTGTCGGAAAAGTCATGATGCTTTTTTTTGTTTATTTTAAGGCCATTTTATTCATATACAGCACAAACTTCAATCAATAATGTATTGCCCATTTTGATCGATGACCATTCGCCATCTTTCAGGCAGCTTCATAATTCCTCGCTCGTAGAAGGATTTGTCTTTACCGGCAAAAAATTGAACAAGGTGCTGATGTACAGCTTCATCTGAAGTAAAGCGTATTTCTCGCAAGGAATTTTGAAGCGACCGAAACAAATGAAAATCAGATGAAGCAAGATCAGGCGAGTATGCTGGATGTGGTAACACATCCCATCCTAACTCCAATAACTTTTGACGAGTGAGCAAACTTGTGTGCGGTCTCGCGTTGTCATGGTGGAACACAACTCCTTTGCGATTAATGAGCTCCGGACGTTCTTGCATGATGGATTGTTGCAAACTGTCCAATTGCCGACAATACACAGTTGTATCGATGGTTTGGTTCTTTGGCAGGAGTTCGAAAAACACGATCCCTTTAAAATCCCACCAAACAGAGAGCATCACCTTTTCCTGATGACTCTCTGCTTTCGCGATAGTGTTACGCGTATCTACACTTCGGGACCAAGACGGTTT